CGGGATGAACTCCTAGCACCAGCTCGCATGCGAGCAATTCAAGAGGAATTGGCGGCATTCTTTCTTGACCACGTGATCGCTGAAGACGGAGAATACTATGTGGACCCTGAGTCCGTATGATTATATTTGTAAGAGATAATTATTGTATATATGTAGCCGGTAGTGTCGGATAGATATACGAGAACTTGTTGTTCGACCAATCTCTCGGAGAAGGAGAGGTGGTCGATATCACTTCTCTCTGTATGCATATATGTTCATGACGATCTTCTGTTTCCTTCGTTTGCTTACTAGCTAGCTAGCGTGTCTAGTCCTCTCTATACGTATGTATAGTACGTAGCGTCGACCAAGCACGGACATAAGAGAGGACACTTCTCTCTATTAATTATAGCTAGCTAACACAATATATGAAACACCTAAATTAACCCCCCAAAAACCCCAAACCCCCCTCCCCCTTTCAAAAAAACAAAAATCCCAGCCACAGAAATGCTGACGCGTGGATGCCTATTGGTCCCGGTTGGTGCCACCAACCGGGACCAAAGGGTCTCCTGCCTGGGCTCCGCGCACAGGCCACGTGGAAGCCCTTGATTGAACCGGGACAGATGGGACAGGGCATTAGTACCGACCCTTTAGTCCCGGTTCCAGAACCGGGACAAAAGGCCCTTACGAACCGGGACAACAGGCCCTTTTTCTATCAGTGACAACATCCGGACTGTGCGATCCAGATGCATGCAGACAGTTTTAGGGTCAGCGTTTGGGTATGCCCTAATGAAAGTAATTTTCATGGTCCTATAGTGATAGTATTTATACATCGATAGTACCGAGAAGTTTGATTCCATCTAGGAGGTTCTCTATTTCAAGTTTCAAAAAATGGGAGGTTCTCTATTTCCTTAGCGGATTAAGAGGATTAAAATATAACTTTCAATCTTGCTAAGTTACAGACGTATGATCATTACCCTTCAACCGGGTTATTCTATTCCACTTCTTGATAGAGAAAAAAACTAAAGGAGAATACTTAATAATACGGCGAAACATTTATACAAAACACCTATCCCGAGCACATGCAAGGGAACCGTAGACAGGCAAGTGAAATCCAATCCACGAAATAATTTGATCAATGGACGGCACCGTTGTGGGAAAGGTCGTAATTCCAGAGGAATCATTACCGCAAGGCGTAGAGGGGGAAGTCGAAGTCTCAGTCGACGCTATATCTGAGAGATCTTACATTGAGATCCGTGCAAAAAAATCAGTTTTTTTCTCTCTTATATATTATGTCACTTAACTAAGACTTGATTAAATCTCAGTCGACTGAAACCTAGCCACACCCTAAAATTTTGGGCAGTTAAAATAGAGATTTTTTATGTACAATATGCCATGTCCAAAAGGTCGTATATATAGTTATATGCAAGAAAGTATATATATATTACATATGGTAGGAGCATGCATTCCGAAAAATAAACATATAGTAATATACAAGCAAGTCAATTACATGCCAACACCAATCGGTGTGACAAGTAGAATGATCAAGCGTTTGCTTCTTCCGTTGATAACTTGGTGTATGCAGTATCCCCCAGCTGGCTGTCGATGTTCTCCCTGCGCTCGTAGTAGAACGCGGTCATGGCGCAGACGGCGAACAACTGCACGAGTGCCATCAGAACGGCGTACACAAAACCTAAGAGCAACCCAACAGCCACGCTATTACCCGCGCAAGTCCTCGCGAGCGTGTGCACCGGCGAAAGGACGCTGGCCAGGGCACAGGTAACGGCGACGTACAGCACGACCTGCCACTTCTTCCCCTTCGCCAGCCTACACGCCCTGCCTAAGGCGGCTGCGCCGTGGCAGCCGGGCTCGGCCACCGCCACGACGACGCTGAAAGAGCAGACGAAGGAGAAGTACACGAAGGAGATGGCCGCGGAGAGGACTAGCAGCGACGCCAGGATGAGCAACACGAAGTACTGCTTCGCCATGAGAACAACGAGAAGCGCCCCCATCAACGCCAGAAACACGACGTAGACGATCTCCAGGATGTAGACGAAGGCGAGCGTGAGCAGGGGGGCCTTCAGCTGCGCCTTAGCTTTCCCGAGGAGCTCGCTGAAGGTAGCACGCTGCTCGCCGGAGTACGTCAAGACGGTGGCGAAGAGGAGGAGGATCCGGACGGCGGAGCTGACGACGACCGCGAACAGCAGGTACCCCGCGCTTACGAGCAGGAGCTCCTTGGTGTCATCCTGGATCTCCTGTACGAGCTTGGCGTACTCCAGGCTGCCGGGGTCGGTGCCGTTTAGCGCCTTGACGTCGAGCTGGATCTCGTCGGCGAGGGGCTGGACGGCCAGGTCGCTGCCGAGGAGGAGCAGCGTGGTGGAGGCGACGATGATGGCGCCGACCGCTATGAAGAGCTTCCGGTTGCGGGTCGGGAGGAGGAGGCCTTCCTTTAGGAAGTTGAAGAACGAAGGTGCCGTGCTTTGACTGGTCGCCATGGCTATGGGTTGTGTAAGCTAGCTTCAAATGACCTCGATGATGCTGAGAGAAGAGAGACGCGCAGATATATAGTACGCATAGCAATGATCGAGGGCCAGCAACTGGGTATGGGTAAGGCAGGATATTGGATAACGCGTGGCGACTAGCGACTAATGAGTAATGAATGAACATAGTTTATGGGGAGACTTCGATAATTTGGTGCTGTGACAGAGTCAAAATAGCCACGAAGGTGGGTATTCTGACCGTTTAACGCGGTGTGACTACTTTAAAAAACGGTGTATAAGAGCATTGTGATGAATAATGTTCTGCCGAATTTACGGTATAAGGTCTTACAAAAGGGTTTGTTTAGGACATATCTAGATGTGATATAATTATGTCACATCTAACTTAATGTCCACTATGTTTGGTCTGTTTTTTTGTCCCAGCTTTTCTTTTTTGTTCCTTGTTGCTATGTTACTTGTGGGAGATTAGATGCATGTGATATTCTTAGAAAGAGAGAAGTGCATATTTCAACCCCAAACTCTTGCCCTAGTCTAGTTTACAACCCCAAACTTCAATGCCGTCTAAATTACAACCCCCAACTCTCAAAATCGGCTAGGATTCAACCCTCTCCTCTCTGTTGACCGTTTTTGACCAGTCAACAGGTCCAGTCAGCATGCCACGTCAGCAAAAAAATTTAAATCTGTAAAATCGAAAAAAATCCAGGAAAAGAAATAAAAAAATCAAATTTGCAGGAAAAAATCAGGGAAAAATAAAAAAACGAATTTCCGAAAACAAAATTATCAATATTTCCATGAAAAACCAAAAAATACTTAAAATAAAAAAACTCCAGGGAAAAATTTCAAATTCCCAAGAAAAATACTTAAAAATGTAAAATAAAAAAGTTCAAATTTCTAGAAAAAGTAATTTCAAAGAAAAGTTATTATTTTTATTTTTTCCTGAAAATTACAGGAAAAGATCTCGAATTTTTTTCGCAAACTTTTTCCCCAGGAAATTTTATTTCGGATTTTTTTCTCGATCTTACAGATTTTTAATTATATTTTCTTGAAATTTTGAATTTTTTTCTGAGGTGGCATGCTGATTGGACCCGATGACTGGTCAAAACTGGTCAAAACCAGTCAACAAGGAGGGGAGGGTTGAATCCTGACCGGTTTTGAGAGTTGAGGGTTGTAATTTAGATGGTATTGAAGTTCAGGGTTGTAAATTAGATTAGGGCAAAAGTTCGGGGTTGAAAATGCACGTCTCTCCCTTAGAAAACATCTAGACGCGTATTAGACAAACTGTTTACAAAAATGCTACACACAGACTAAATCGGCGGAACTTTACGGATTAGCTTGTCGAGTTTTCATTGGGCTAAAAGGAACCTACTCCTAATTAACCGGACCCGCTAGTGATATAGCAGAGTATATGAGGGCAAAACGTGTCATGGCCCGCCCTACCCGAGATAAAATAAATTTACTTATCCTCAGTCCACTCCCAGAGAAGTATGCATCTGATATTTTTATTCTTGTTATTAGCCGGCCTGAATGTACAAGTCTTTATTGTTGTTCGCAGCCTGAATGTGCAGCCTAGTCTACGAGCAGACTAAACCAGCATGCCTCACATCTAGTAGTAGCAATGCATCATCTCAAATTGACAATAGCAGAAATTTTAAACGTACGAACCAATTTCCTACGGGCTAATCCCCACTAAACTCAAAGTAAACCACCCGGTTCTAAGTAACACCCCCAACCCCTCCGCCCAAGACTTAGCTTGGTCTTGGCTCGCCATGTAATGACAATGACCGTGACATATTTGCGGAGGCCACCCAAGTTACCCTGGGAGATGAAAACAAGGCTAGATTTTGGGATTATCCTTGGCTACAGGGCGTTAGAGCATCTCTAGCCGTTTGCCCTTAAGGGCGTTAAAAAAGAGCGGTCTGGGGGTGAACCGGCGTTAGTTCGGCCTCTGGAGGCGACCTAGCTCCCAGTCACGCCCCCAGGCGCCGCCCCCAGGACGCGAAAAATTCGAACTTGGTTGTTCCCGCTCACAAAAGGCACCACAAGTCGGGCGATCGCAAGCCATAGTTCGGCGTACAAAAAAATAGAGCGGCAGAAGTTCGCGTGCGCATCACTCGGCGGGTTCTACCCCAGGCGTCGGCGGAGTTGGCGTGCGCGGGCTTGGCGGTGTCGAAGCAGCCTCTGCGCTGGGCGGCGTCGGCGCAGCTTCGGTGGTGCTGGGCATCGTGGAGGCGTCGTCACGCGGGCTTGGCGGCGGCGGCGGCGGCGGCGTGTGCGTCGGCGTCGGCGGCCTTGTCGAGGGAAGCTGGTTCAGGATGAGGCCACGCTCCGCCAAGTACCACGCCTTGACCGCCTCGTCGGTGCTCTGAAGTATGTCCGCCCCGCCCAGCAGGAAAGCCAGGTCGGTGTTTCTCTTCTTCGCGGCGACGTTCGTCCGGAGCAGGTCGATCTTGACGGCGCTGCTCGACATCAACGCCGACCACCGCGCCTTGGTCTTCTCTTCACGAAGGACGGCCCGAGCCTGCGCGTCGGCGAGGCAGTGCTCGATGGACTCCTGCACTCGAGCGGTGGCCGCGTCGGCGTATTTTCTCTTCTTGGCAACTTTGTTGTCGTCCGGCCGCCCTTCCGATGCGCCAGGAGTCGGCGCGTCCGGCTTGTAGGTCTCCTTGGCCTTGTCGAGGGTGCGCCGGACTTCCGCCCACTTCTCGCATTTGTCAATGCGCTTATAGACGTGGAGGTACTTGAATTCGGCGTCGATGTTGCTCTGCCGGTACAGGGTGAACATGCGCAGCAACTGCGGGACAAACAGTTGGCGCGCATACACGGCGAAGAGAGGCGGGAGGCCGGCGTGGCATACCTGATCCTCGACGCTGGCGTCGCTCTCCGGGCGAGCTGCGACCTCCTCGACGACCCCATGCCATTTTGTTGCACGTCCCCTGGATACGCCCCCAATGGTTCGCCATCGCCTTGGAGCCGCGCTGCATGTAGACGCCTTTGAAGTAGGGGTCGACAAGCTTGCGCTCGTCGAACTCGGCCTTGATGTGGTCCCAGTACGTGTCGATGCTCTGGTTCGTGCCGGTCGTCGGGTCGAGGCAGACGACTTTCCATGCTTCGGCGAGGAATTCCTCCTCCTTGGACGCCCACTTGATGCGCGGCTCGCCTGTCCTGGCCGCCCGCTTCTTCTTAGGCCCCTTCGCCGTCGCAGGCGTCAGCTCCTCCTCCTCCTCCTCGTCCTCCTCCTCCTGCTCGTCCTCGCCGTAGACGTAGCTGAGCTCGCCGTCCATGCCGCCGCTGAGATCCACCACCTCGTCCTGGGTGGCGAACCCGGGAGATGCGGCGGCCCCGGCCGAACCAGTCGCGATGATGTCATCCATGTCGGACTCGGTCTCGTCGGTGTCGCCCAGGTGCGAGAAGGGCAGCGGGCCACGGCGTAGCGGGGGCGTCGGGGAGGAAGCGTAGGCGGGCGGCGAGTAGTTGTATGGAGGGTACTGCACGCCGGCGAAGGCGGGTGAGGGCGTGCGCTGGACCGGGTATCCATGGGGAAGGTGACGTTTGGGTTGAACCCACCGTGCGCGTCACCGTCGGCGTAGCCCGGCGAGGGCAATGCCCATGGTTGCGGAGAGCCGATGCCTTGCTGACCCCAGGGCGCGTACTGGGCGTGGCTTCCGGAAGGATTCATCATCCCCACACAAGCCGCCTCGGCCTCGATTTGGTCTGCCGAGGCAGCCGCAGCCGTGCGCGCCGCGTTGTCGCGGGCCTTCTTGGCGATGGCCCTGTTCCGCCGGTCGGCGGTGACAGCCTCCCGCCGCTGAATTTCCGCCCTCCACTCGGCGTTTGACATGCCCGGTGGCTTGGTCGGCGGCGCCCTCGGCTTCCTCTGCTTCGGCTGGGCGACGGAGGCGGTCGCGGTTGCCGCCGCGCGGGGGGTGGGGGGCGACGTACTTCTTCGGTGGCATGGCGTCCGGCTGGGAGGGAGGTGAGCGGGAGGGAGTTTGGCGGGAGGAAGGAAGAGTACGGGAGGGAAGTGGGGAAAACGCGGGAAGAAATGGCAGGAAGAGGCGCTCGCCTCGCTGACAGGGCGGACCCACGCGCCCTTTTCGCTTGTGCCGGCGCCCCAGGGGCCCCCAGAAAGACGGGTTCGGCCTGGGTCCGCCGGCACCAGTTTCGCCCCGAGCCGGCGAAAAACGGGTTTCTGGGGGCGCGACTGGGCCGTTTTTTCGACGCCGGCGCGGCAAAATCGTCTGGGGAGGGCCTGTTGAGGGCGCGGTTGGAGATGCTCTTAGGCCGAGAGGCGTCTCCCTCAATCTCTTGGAGCTCTTCCGCAAGACTGGGCTATTTAGTTCCCAGCTACATCTTACCACACTTTGCCACACCTAACTTTAGGCAAATTTGATCAAGTTAGTTAGGTGTTTGGTTCTAGCCACACCTAAGGCAAGATTTTTTTTATGAGCAGTGAACCCCACGCGTCATAGACATAAAAAGTGTGGTAAGATTCCCTTTGACAAGCCAAAATATGGCTAACAATTTAAGCAATTCAACTAAGACAAGTATGGCAAAAATCATGTGACAATACATGGCAAATATAATCACAATCCAAACAGCCCCTTCGAACTGCACGGCTAGCATGCCTACGTTGGATAACTCATGGGTCCACCAGATTGACACTCACCGTGGTTTGTCAATAGAGCACATCCACGGGTTTGTTGCCCTTAGGGAAAATCTTACTCATATTGATCACCTCACCTAAGGAGTCCTGAACACCATTATCTGGAAATTCATTGTCAATGGGGAGTACTCGACGACCTCGGCATACAAGGTGCAATTTGTTGGGCTGACCTCCATGGCCATGGTTTTCACAGTGTGGAGTGCCTAAGCTCCCCCACCCCCAGGTGCAATTTCTTTGCCTGGCTTATCATCCAGGATAGAGTATGGGCGCGCGGTCGATAGGTTGCTTCGTCACGAATTGCCAAACCATCGGTTGTGCCCATTATGTAAGCAATTCCAGGAGTCTGTGGTGCACCTCATTTGTCACTACAGATAAACGTGACATATTTGGTCGGATGTCACTATCTGGTTTGGGCTCTATCAGATCATGACTTTAAATTAGCTCCTAGTGACCTCGGTGAAGGACTAGCCGGTCGACATTCTCCTCCTCGACAATGCTTGTTAGGTGAGAAGTTTGAAAAGAACGGAATGTTAGTCTTACGCAACCTCAGTGCCCCGGCGATGGTGATTATCTCGAAGATCAAAGAGGAGGATAGGCTATGTGCCTGGCTGGGCCTGCACACTTGAGTACTGTAATGCCACAAGAGTAATTGCTCTGTTTTCCTACTTGACGGATTTTGTCTAAATGTTCTTTCTTAATCAATGAAAATGACAAGTCTCTTGCCTTGTTAAAAAAACAAGCAAACCCTCTGATAAGGGTTCTCTGAATAATCGTCAAACAAAATAATAACCCATACTACAACATTATATTCTTTTACTCTGCCTCTGTACCAGCAATGCTCTTCTTCAAGGACTCCACGTCGTCGGCCAGCTCTTTCCTGCGTTCCTGCAATAGTATTTTGTCCAAGATCATGTTAGGGCCTCTTTGATTCATAGGATTGCAAAAATACAAGAATAGTAAAAACGTAGGATTGGAATGGCATGACCATTGGATCCCTATAGGATTTGAGTTTGTTTGATTGTGTCATGGGAAAAACAAAGGATTTCTTTCAAGAGGTTGGAGTGGATGTTAGAATTCCTGTGAAATGTAGTACAAATGAATCCTTAGGAAAAATTCCTATAGGATTCAATCCTACGAATCAAACGACCAACGTAGGAAAAATTCCTAAGGATTCTAATCCTTCAAAGATCCTATGAAAATCCTTTGAATCAAAGAGACCCTTAATGAATTACAAGTTTCTTGCAATCGAATTAGCTCTACCACCAGATACTACCAACTAGGCGAGCCCGTAACTGATCGCGCACCTTGAAGAGGAGGTAGCGGTACACGAACCATCCGCTGTAGCCGAGCCCAACAAGCTCCATGATCTTGGGAAGCTGCACGCAGAAATTATTCAACGTGTTATCGGTGCTCAAGTCTGATGAGTGGACACACGACATGATCGGTCGATCCAAGACGGTGGTCATGGTCATGTACTCATGTATGAGCGTACGCACCAGAGGCAGAGAGTTGATGGCGCCGACGATGACCGAGGAGAACCATACGGCGACGATGGCGCCGCCGGCGTACGTCAGCACGGTGGACTTGTTCTCGACCGCGTCCCACTGCGACAAAGCAAACAACACGTACGCACCGTTGCTCAAGCCGATCAGCTCGCCGTTCTACGTACTCCCCAAATACGTATTAGCGCCTCCTGTTCTGAGAGTACCTTGGCTTTCAGGTCGTCGACGAGCTCGTCGCCGCTCGCGGCAGAGGTGTCACCGGAGGAGGCCTTCGCCCGGAGCAGAGAGAGCCGCGGCGCATCTGGTTAACACATCGTACTAATTGTTAAGGCGTCTACGTATCTGAGGTGACAAGATGAACGCAGTATAGGTACCGTCCGCACCTTGGAGGCGACGAGGGGAGAAGTGACGCCGTGGGAGAAGAAAGGTTGGCGGCGCGCCGGCGGGGAGGCGTGCTCCTGCTACACCCAGAAGCGCCGTAGAGCACGCCGTTGCGGCCATGTTCTCACCTGCAAGCTCTTCTCTGGCTCTGGCCTACGCTGACACCCTCCTAGTCCTGCGCGTCCCTGGGCCTCTCTTTCTCCTTGTGTCCCGGGCGGAATTTGATTTGATGCTTTTGCGCGGTGATCGGCCACATGGCAGGATGGTGGGCTCTGATTGGCCGGCTGCCTATCTTAGAAATCTGTGGCTGGCCCCCAGCGTTTGGTTGGCTGTCCTAGGTACAGAGGTCTCAGCTCACAGCTCCGTACTCCATACCAGACCACATTGTCCCGTAGGAGTACATCGGTGGGCTTACCTCGTCCATGCAAGCTGCAACGGCGGCCGGCAGTCGCCGTCCGAAGCTGGCCCATGTTACTATGTACGCGTGCCTTTGCGTGGCACACGGTTCTAGCGCGGGGCCCGTCCTCCATGCTAGCTTCGCGTGCACAACAGCATTGCCGTTGCACGAAGCTTTTAGTTCGCGTCATCACAAACACACCCCGCAATAAAAGATTCATTTCATGCTTGCAGCTCCACTGACACTAGTAACATAGCGACCAGAGTCACCGGATCAATTTGCAGTTGCAGACACTCGAGACCTGCGGCCTAGGCTAGGTACTAGCATTCGTGGCCGGGGAGGTAGCAGTGGTGGATCCATGGCCGTGGGCGCGGCGAGCAGGCGGTACATCGGGCCCCTGCTGTGCATCAACCTCGTCATGCACGCGGCCGTCCTCGGCATCGCCGGCTGGTCGCTCAACAAGTTCATCGACCGCGAGACGCACCGCCGTACGTAGTACGTCCTTGCGTGCGACATGATCGATCTGGTCTGGTTAACGACGTGACGCGGTGTGCAGATCTAGGAGGCAACACGGCGACGGGGTACCTGCTCGTCTTCTCGCTCATGGCCGGGGTGGTCGGCGCCTGCTCGGTGCTCCCCGCCCTGCTCCACGTCAGGGCGCCCTGGCGCAGCGAGAGCCTCGCCGCCGCCGCCTCCACCGTGCTCGTCTCCTGGGCGCTCACCGCCCTCGCCTTCGGGTTCTCTTCTACACTCTCACCGCCAGTTTCACTCGCCATCTGCTAGTGATAGTACGTAACTCACACTGCCGTGCCATCTTTTCTTGAACATCTGCAGCCTCGCGTGCAAGCACATCACTCTAGGGAACCGAGGAAGGCGCCTGGTACGTCGTCGTCAGTCAATGCTAGTTCTACACGCACCGGTGCATCTATCCTTGTAAATTTTCTGCGTTTCCTCTCGGTGATTCTACTTCTGAACTCTGTGTTGGTCTTGCTAGCAGAGGACGTTGGAGGCGTTCATCACGATCTCGACGCTGACGCAGCTCTTCTACCTGCTTCTGCTCCACGCCGGCGCCTTGAGCGGGGTGCATGGAGTTGGACAGGCCTGCGGGAGCCACGGCGAAGCCTGCTGCCGCGAGATCCCTCGGGGAGAGCTCGCCGCGGACCATAAGACGGCGGGAGGGGTTCCGTCCCCGGATGCATGACCAAGCGTACTACCAGAAACTTGAATTGTACTGAGTGTCAACAACTGTATCGAGTGCAGTTCATCGGCCACTCGTATGGTAAGCAATTTGCCAGGCGCAGGATGACGTACTCGGATTTCTGATTATTTCCGTAGGCCCTTGGTAGAGAAATAACACTCAGGACAATAGGGATACATGTCATCTGAGACGCAGATGATGGAAATACAGACGGACTTTATCTACCACAAAGTGGTTTGATCTTATGTGTTCGAAAAATAAACACTCGATCCTCGATATAGTTTTTAGAGCGTGACGTTGGCAAATCCGGCGCCGAATGATCCATCAAACATCATGTCGGACAATCACGCTTCTCGCATCAAAACCCTTGCAAATCCATGCACGTCGGTCGATCGCACAGTTGTAATTTATCACCAATACAATGCAACAAAGCAAAATGAACCATAATTCAAGATTAAAACATGACAAAACGAAATTCAACATCCGGGCCGCGTCCGTTGTGGCAGCGGACGCTCTTTCCCCCTTGTACTCCCTGCGCAGATTGATCTCCCTCTTCCTCTTCTCAACCCAATTATTACCTTCCGTGTCCAAGAGATTTGCATCGGTAAATATTATCCTCGGGTCCTTCGTGTCTCAAGAAAGTTGTAATATCTTCTGCTTGAGCTATATTGCTTCAAAAGTCCGGGCCTTCTCGAGCTCTCATTTGGCACACGCATCTTGCTTCTTAAGGTCTATATTCTCCCTCCCAATTTGTCGGAGTAATGGGCCACGGGTAGGCCAACCTGAGCCCATAACCTTTCAAGACATTGAGGCAGGCTGCGCCCCTCAAGACCACAGGGCGAAGAGCAGCCTCCTGGGGAGTCTACGGCAAGGCGGACGACTGCCCGCTCACGGCCAAGTCCCAGGGGCGACTTCCAGAGAAGCCGGTTTTGGGGAGTCGGCCGGCGACTCCAACAACCCGTGACCTCATCGAAGGGGACGGGGCAGGGGCGTGGCTACAATGAAGCCCACTCCCCGCCCCTTACCAAGGGCAGGCATGGCTACAGCACGTCGTACTTGGGAAGATCTCCCCGCGGCGTGGCACTGTTGCCCGGCCGGCCCTGACATCAGCACCACTGTACCAGGTCCTGCGCCCACGACGGCTTGTCTGTACGGCCTGGAGGCAGCGGGGACCACCAGTCAGCAAGACCTCGGCAGACGGCGGGAGAACCGCCAGTCGGACCCGTCGGGAGTCGGCCCGGGGGAGTCGGCCGAGCCCTCCCCCGGGGCCCACGCGCCATTAATCAAGAAGAGATGGGGAGTGGCCACAGTGATCGCCCGCCAGGCGGCGGGGCTGTTGCCACGACCCCATGACCAAGCTTGTGTCATCAGGAGCACGGCTACAGTAATCAGCAGCCGACAAGACCCGCCCGCGGCGGACGCGGCCTGTCGGCTCCGTACCAGACCAGTCGGCGGGGCCCACCAGTCGGCGGGCCCCAGCAGTCAACGGAGAAGTCGGAGGTCGGAGGCACCGACGGCTGGGCCCGCGCCCAGTCGGATTACCATTGTACCCCGGGGGGTAGGCCTATATAAACCCCCCAAGGCACCCATGCAAAGGGTTGGAGGCCAGTCGTTCGATACCATACTAGATAGAAGGAGAGAGCTAGCCTTGCCCTCTCCTGCCACCAGACACCGCTCAAGGAGCAACCGTGTAAACACTTGACCATAGTGATCATGCGGAGACCCCGCAGAGCAGCAGTAGGGGTATTATCTCCCCGGAGAGCCCCGAAGCTGGGTAAGATTCGCCGGCGTACATGTCTTCACCTCATCTCGTTTCCAGGCACCGGCGACGTTCTACTCGCCCCCACCATGATAAGCCATCCGTTGGCATATGTCGCACCAAACCCCCGACACAATTTGCAACTTGTTTTTCATCCTCTCTCGCTCCCAATCCTTCCTCTCCTTTTGTGAACCCAACATGAGTTTTTACTTCTCCTCTTTCTTCTCCTTCCTTGTGGAAAAAATGAATGTCCATGTGGCGGGATATTTCTGATGTTGTGGTGTCATGCGTGGGAACCTTCCCCTTGTCCCACTTCTTTTCCATCACTTGGTGGTTCTTCATTGGCATAGTGGCTCGTCCATCCTTCCCTAAAACTTCTTACTCTTTGTCATCCAATCCAATGGATTTCGGGAGCTTGAGCGATCATTTTTCAATGAAGAATGACTTTTGGCACTCCTCTTGGCCGGATAGCGAGCAATGCCCCAAGGTCATTGCAAGAGACATCTTTATAATCTTTTTTTTTGAGGAGCAAGAGTAACCACGTTACTCTTAAGCCAACACATAGTCGGCAGCTAACACTGCATTCAGATCGTCCGGGATTACCGCCACCCTCTGCATGTCTTCCATCCTTCTTGCACGCACAGCGAGAGCATGGGCTAGCTTGTTTTGACATCGGCTAGCATGTATGACCTGGGATACGCTGAACCTCTGGAGTTCCTTTTTGATGTCAGAGAAAACTGAATGCCAGGGAGAACTGTTGCTGGCGCCCAGTTGAAGCTCATTACAACGAAAATGCAGTCAGTTTCAACAATGATTGGCCCCCTGTACAGAGGTGACAGGGCCTCTAGGCCAGCAAGTAAGGCCTTCGCTTCGGCTTCCTCCACTGCAGAGCAACATCCAATTCCTTTGGACAGAGAGACAACGACGAGCCCCTCATGATCCCGCGCGACAACGCCCACTTGCGATATCCCACTATCGGCTAGAAAAGCAGCATCTGAGTTCAGTTTGACAGTTCGGCCACTGGGGGACACCACTGATTTGCTGTATGGCCCTGGGAGGTCTCAAACTACAAGCTTGTCGCCCCTGATAGAAAATCCATGGGTATTCTCCTGTCCAAAGCATGCCCTGCCCGTAGCTTCTTCTGTTTGATATTTGTGTCAGTTTCCAAAATAGTGTCACTACACTTCAGCTCCTCCTCGTACTGCTCCAAGAAATGGGCCGATCGGCTAACAGACTCCTTCCCCGCGTTGTGCGTGCAGTCATCCCTAAGAAACCAACAACGCCATAGTAGTAGCAGTATCTTAACTCTTGTCTCTGGGTTGCAAGGGATGAGGAGGTTCTGTAACCAATCCACCCCAGTGTGTCTGAACTGGGATTCACTAGGGAAGTTCCAGATTTCTCTCATCTCATGCCTCAGAGCCTTGCTTTTAGTGCATGAAACTACAGCATGAAATTCATCTTCCTCTTCAGTACCACAAATCTTACACACACTGTCCACTTCAAGAGTACGTTTCCATTTATTCTTCTTTGTGGGCAGGGTGTTCGTGGCAACTCTCCAGCCAAAGATCTTGATTTTCTCAGGAACTTTCGCTTTCCATATGATGTCCCAAATGCTTCGGTCATCGACGTCATTCGTAGAGCTCGAGGCTGGGTTTTTGGACTGATTTTGGAGGGAGACCGCTAACCTGTACGCACTTTGAACTGTGAAAACGCCGGAGTTTTCAAAGTGCCAAGCGAGGGTGTCCTCGGTTTCAGTACTAGGAAGCCTTATACTGCATATAGCCTCCGCGTCAAAGTGGTAGAACAGTTGGTGCACCTTCTCCGTGTCCCACCCAGTACCGTCAGCCCTTAGCAACTGGTTTACCCATCTGAGCCTAGACCGGCGGATGAAGCTTGCTGGTTTGAGGCCCTCTTTACGTGGGATCCAATTGTCTCTCTGAATATTTACCTTTCTCCCATTCCCGATTCTCCACACAAGACCGGCCTTGAGCAGTTCGAGTCCATACTCAATTCCACGCCAAACAGGGGAGGCTTCTGATGCAAAAACCGTGTCTATTAGCTCCCCGTGCGGGTAGTATTTTGACTTTAGAACGCGTGCGCATAAACTGTCTGGCCTCTGAATCAATCTCCATGCTTGCCTGGCGAGCAGAGCTTGGTTGAACAGCTTCATGTCTCTAAAACCAATACCCCCTCCTCTCTTTGGTCTAGTCATTTGCTCCCAAGACATCCAGTGAACTTTCCTATGGCCCTTTTCCTCGCCCCACCAAAAAACCCGGATTAGTCTTTCATACTTATCACAGAAACCTTGTGTCATCTTGAAGACCCCCATGCAATATGTGGGAAGGGCTTGCAGGACCGATTTCACTAGGACCTCCTTAGCTGCATGAGACATGAATCTTTCTGACCAGTCTGAACATCTCTTTATAAATCTTTCCATGATAGGCTGAAACAAAGAATCCTTCATGCGTCCTTCTGGCGTGGGGAGCCCTAAATACTTGCTCTCAAATGTAGAGGACGTGATCTGCAACTCCGTCATGACAACTTGTTGGGTCGCCTCTGGACATAGCTCACTGAAGAGAATTGAACACTTGCTATAACTCAGTAGTTGGCCTGAACCTTTCTGAAAATTGGCAAGTATTTGCATGATGCACTCTGCCTCCTCTTTGCACGCCTTGAAGAAGAGTAAGCTGTCGTCGGCAAACAGCAGGTTGGATATCCCAGGACTGCCTCTAGCAATCTTCAGGGGGGTGATTTTTCCTTGACAAATCTCCTTGTCCAGCAGGCATGCTAGTCCTTCAGCCACAAAAAGGAAGAGATATGGGCTCAACGGGTCACCCTGCCGAAGCCCTCTCGAGGGGATGAAAGGTTCGAGGAGCTCCTCGTTGTATTTGACTGTGTATCTCACGGATTTTACACAGCTCATCACCCAGCCAACCCATTTTTGCTCAAACCCAAGCTTCAGGAGAGACTCTTCCATAAATCCCCAATCGACTCTATCATATGCCTTTGCCAAATCCAACTTGAAAGCACAGTGCGTATTAGCTGGCTGTTTGGAATATTGGATTTTGTAGAAGCACTCGAAAGCAATCGTGGCGTTGTCTGTGATCAGGCGGCCAGGGGTAAAGGCACTCTGAGTCTCAGAAATCAGATCATCCAGAAGGGGTCTCAAGCGATTCACCATGCACTTGGAGATCACTTTATATATCACGTTGCACAGACTTATTGGTCTGTAGTCTTTCAGGTG